TTTCTCTACAGTTCGTTCATTTTAACCATAAACTGGTATGTCTTCTTGCCAGAAAAATGAAAACGCCATCAGCTTATTTCCAGAGCAACTCTCGGAAGAAGGAGTCATCAACAGTTTTGCCAGGGGACAGTTTCTGTTTGCATGCTGATACTAGTTATGAATGCTTCTGCCTCTTACAAATAGGGAATTACGGGAAAGATTTAACTTTTGAGCAGCCTAGAGGTTCTGATTTTTTGGTATGCGTCAATACCAATTTACCGTGAAAACAAACGAATTATAGGAGGATTCGGTTGTTTCACCGGCGGAATCGAACTATCGACATTTTCAGCATTAAAATACTGCAAGATATTAATTCATTAAGCCACTATATCCATCAAAGTAACAAAATTCATGTAATTGCACAATTAACTTCCTGAACTTCGAGGACCAATATGTCACAAATTCTAGCTACTGCGATTCCAAGCGATCTTACTACAGCACGAAATACTGCAAAAATGCATGCATTCCACCTAGTGCGTCTAGCCAATAATTTTAACTGCAATGATATATTTGACTCACAACGAATAGACGGCAGTATCGCATAGTGTGACAAGTTTCGTGGCATCTGCATTCCAGACCAAGCATCGACCCGATGAGAACATTTTCTTCTCCAGTTCCGCAATAAATGGTTTCATAGCAATATTTGATGGAAAAAGATAACCACCGTGCAGATGAACAATGACATGCTCGCTGAATTTTGTTTCCGTTGAGGCCTCAAGCACTAACATATCCTGAAATATGCTGTTTTTCCAGACCGATTAATATGAAACCAGCATCGAAAACTGATTGATTCGTGATATCGACTCATGAAAATGAGGTATACATGAAACTAGTCACAAAAAATAATTAAAAAATCACATTAAAAAATTATAAAATAATTAGAAACAGATGAAAAAATAAGTAAAAAGTTGTGGAAGGAAAGAACGGCATCATTTGCAGAATTTCGTTATAGGAGAATTTTCCAAATAATTGCTAACGGAGATATGTGGACAAGAATCTAGGGCGAGAATTATACTCTTTATATTAAAAAAAAAAGTACAATTACAACTGGATGTTTCGGTCCATGAAGTCGTATACACTACTTTCTAGTACTACAACTGAAAATGTCTTTACGACGCTAGTGGCGAAACCTATATATAAACAGGTTCACGCCACAAAAAGCTGAAATTTTGCAGGGATATTCTCTGTGCATGTATGAGCTTAAGGGTTTCAAATTCAACTATCCCACATGCTTATACCGCGTGGACGTTATAAATGTGAGTTAATACTATCCTACGGCAAATGTGGTGAAGAAGCCGGGTGGTACTAACATGCCATACACAAATTTGGCGCTGTAAATATATAAAGACTGCCATTACGAAACTCCATAAATTAGGCAAAAATTTCAGTCAAGTTTAAAACAAACCCTTTCCGGATTCAGCTCAATACCAAACATATCCTTTAGCACTTCCGACACGCAAGCATTAAAGTCGTTAATTAACACTTCTTCAATAACACCGGGATTTGATGCGCGATAAAATTCAAGGTCAAAATAGAGACGAGCTGGACGATCCTGAGGTATGAGTTCATAGAATGAAAGACCTGGTTGATGATCTCTGTACCAGTGCCAAAATCTTCGAACTGTTGTTACCAGAAAACGTCTCAGTCCTGAACGAAAATTGCAATCAAATTAAAAATCGAACCCCTTCCTATTTTGGCTCAGTTTACAAGCATTGAAATTCTTTCGAATTTTACCCGTCGCGGTGTTGAGTTAAGACATATATGGGTTAATAGACCGAAACGTCTTATCTCAATCTTACCTTCTTTCCTCATTCTGTTCTTCTTTCCTGTATTCTATCGT